AGGGGTCTAAGAGGACTAGACTCCTGTGGCTTTGGAAATCTATAGACTACTGGAAGGAAGCCGGAAAACAGGCAGATCTATGTGCACATGCACACACTCGGTCCTCTCTCAAACAGCGCCATAACGTGGGCTCATCTGACATAACATACTCCATGCATAAATCACACCAAATAACGAGCACGTGCTCGGCTGAGAAGGTGGGACTGGCTGCACGGTGCTGCTCGTCATGGCCTCTGCCTCTCAGGGCCCGTCTCTGCCAACTCAGCACTGCAGCATCTATTTGTCCACACTTCCCAGAATGTTCCAAGGAAGTACATGGAGTCCGAAGTTCCCCCATGGAGTGAAGGCTCAGTGGGGCCCAGGAGGGAGGTGGTAGGAAATGAGGGTTCGGGATGGGACAGGAGAGCAGGAAGCACTGCCATGTTGGGGGGAAGTGTGTGACAGTTCTCACCAAAGGAGACCTCCTGACCTGTGAAAGCTGAAGACCGTGTGTACACACAGAGCCACCTGTGACTCAGACTACCTCAGAACTGCAGGATGTTTGAAGAGGGCCTTGAGGGTTTCAGCATACAGTGCCATGCCGGGAAAGAAAGTGCCCGCACCAGAGCCTGCCTCGCCCTGCTCCCCCTCCGAGATCTGAGCAGCCCACAGTTCTCTCTGCTAGGGCAGCGATTGTGACATGATGTGTGTGTGTGTGTGTGTGTGTGTGTGTGTGGGTGTGCGCGCGTGGCCCTGCCATCGGCTCCTTTGCAGGCTTTGTGAGCTGGCACTCAGGGCTCGTGAACCCAGTGACTGGAACAAACTCCAAGCTGAGTGAGCAGTCGGTTTGCCCTCACTGCCCTGGGCCAGCTCCATCCTCGCAGCTCCTGGGCTGCTGTACCCAGCCTGCCCTTGCCTGCAGAGCTGAGGGGACCCCTCCAAGGGCACGGGTCAGACAGAGCACACTGGAAGGAGGCAGAGGTTGAGATCAGAGGAGAGAGAAAAGAGAGATCTCAGGTTCCACAGAGAGCCTAGCGAGGGTCATGGACAGGCGCAAAGGTGCACACACAGGAAATGCACAGTACACCCAAACACATGCATGCATGACACACAATACACATACACACGTGCTCACAACACACACGTATAATAGAAGACACACAATCTACAGTGCATGTGCGCACATCACACACAACGTATCACATATAGCCTATCTCACATACAGCACACAAACATACTATACACTACACATCACATGCAACACACATAGGCATGCCCCCACACCCCACATATACCACAACTCCTACTGCACACACCTCCCATACCACAACACATACATACCATACCAATTACCACACGCATGCCTTATACACACACCCTCGCACAGAGACTGAAACCAAGGAGCAGAGATATACTTGCCCAGTGACAGAAGTCATTTGAAAAGAAAACCCGGAGGATCATAGACACAGAACCGACCAAAAGAGAGGACAAGCCAGGGAAAAAATGGCATGTATGCACACTTTCGTCCTAAGTCAACGATTCTCAGTGGAAGATGATTTTGTCATGCAGTGGGCCTTGGACAATGCCCAAAGACATCTGTCATGGTTGAGGGTAGGGAGGGGACAGGGTGACCACTGCCATTAGTGAGTGGATACTCAGATGCTCTAGCATCCCGGAATGCCTAGGGCATTTGTCCCTCCCCGCCCCCTGCCCCCCCCCCCAGAAAAGAAGGATTTGTTCCCAAACGTCAGCAGTGTCCATGTAAAAAATTGGGCCCTGATGCAGAGGTCAGCACGCAACAGCTCCTACTGCCCCACACAGTGCCGGCTAGCACACACAGGTGACACTCCTGACGCCTCCGGCCCCAGCCCCTGCTGGGGGACTCTCAGAGGCCAGTCCTACTCTGTTAGCTGCTGCCCTGGCCTCCTGAGGCTCAGACTAAGGCAGGAAAGACTTGTTAGAAGAACCCTCTCCTGCACATTTCAGCCTGTTCTAGACCCTCCTCCCTTCCCCATGGGCCTCAGTCCCTGACGCCTCCAGGTGTCCCCAGGGCTTGATGGAAGCCAACATGAGGTCCAGGGTAGCTGCCCCAAGTTTGAGCTCACTCATCCTTAGAGATAGGAGCATTGAGAGAGATGGTGACTTGCTCAGCCCCAAATAGGGTCTGGGTAAGGGCACTTAGGGAGGATGAGATGGCAAGTGTCACAGAGGAGACCAGGCCCTGTGACTGCCCTCTCATCCCCTCACCCCCAACGCCAGCAGCCTCCTGCTTGTGGACACTGTGATTCTGGGTTGCAGAACCCACTCCTCTTGTGTTGAGAGGTGCTGTCCCAGTGAGGAATGACACAGACCTTCATGTGGGAATGGGGCCATGCCACCATTGTCAAGATAGAAGGAGGCATCCTTCCTGTCCTGGGAGCCAACAATGCGGGAAGGCTCAGGAAATGTAGATTTAAGATGTGAGGCGGAGAGTGAATGAGCCTTTGCTGGTCCAGCAGGTAGACCTGCCACTCCAGGGCTACTTTCCCCACTGTCCCAAGTACCCAACATTGAGCCCAAGGACTGAGAGAACACTGGCAGGAGCTTGTATCCAGCCACCTTCCCTCCACCCCTATTTTGAGTCTAGTCTCAGTTTTCCACCTGTCATCATCCACTTACACAAAGGCAACACCAGGTGCAGGATGCTGAGGCAGGGAAGGGAAGTGGAAGACTGCCCTCCAGTCTTCCAGGCCCCTAGCTGCCGGTCCCCTCCCTCTCCAGATTACAGTGGGGTCTTTACCTGGTGCTAAGTAGAACAGAACAGGTAGGGTGGGTCAGCAGGTGGACAAACACTGGCTAATGGGCACAAAGGTCCTGAGTTCAAGGTTTGGATTCCAGCACCTTCCCCCCACCCTGCTTGAACCCACTGACCCCTGGGTGGGTGGGGAAGGCAGTTAATCGATCTGCACTGTTTGCTCAGGGCTATACGGCCTGGCCCTGGCTCTGACAGGGATACCTGCAGCTTTCCATCTGGAGGCAGCCCCTCTGTGCTTTGTCTCTATAGCTTAGTATTCCCCCTCCCTGCATACAAGTCATGCACATACACACACTCACATATACTGTACACACACCGCATAAGACACACACACATGCAAAACACCACACTTACCATACCCAGACACTGTAGAGGCACACTACCCATACCACACACATACAGCATACTTACACGTTATAAACACTGTACACATGACACAAAGACACATGCACAACACGTACACCACAGGCATGCCAGGTACCATACACACACTCACATTCCTGCCATATCACACATTCCATTTCCACATACACAAAGCACACATACCATACACACACACACGCATTTCATATGACATGCCATACAGACAAGCACATGCCAGACATGACATAGACACGTTATATATACACACCACACACAGCAGACATGCCACATGTGCACATGACACACATGCATACACATGCACACATCTGTGCTCACACTCTCCATCTGCCAGCTCTCTAAATGAGAGACAGTTAGGCAAAGAGACTCTGGAGCTAGACGCCTACACCTCTGACTGCCAGACACCCTGCGCAAGGCCATGGGGCCATGGCTGGCCTGGGACTTCGAATCATCTGGAACAGCCGAGCTGGAACCTCCACTGCTTTCCAACGGGAAGGTGAACTGGGTGGTTGGTTTCCAGGAGGCTTCTACTGTCTTCGTCGAAATTCAATGTCCCCTCTTGGGAGGAGACTAGGCTGTGCTCGATGTCAGGATCTTTCCTACTGGTCGACCATGCAGGTCACTCACCTCTGCAGCCCCTTCACCAGGTGAATGAGAGGGTGTGGGCTCTGAAGTCTGGGGAGTTTCAATCTTGCCTCTGCCACGTCGACACCTCGGGTGACTTACTTTATCCATTTGAGCTCCAGGTTTTTTCCGTAGGGAAATGTGGTCACAATACCTGCCTCACGGGTTTCCTGGGAGTCCTCCATGAAAGGCCTCGTGTGCAGTAGTGGGTGAGTAAGTGTTGCTTCCCGGGAAGACTGCCAGGTAAGACACTGGCCGAACGTGGGCATATTTACACTAAAATATTACTGTTTATCGGAAATTCAGCTACCTGGGGGTCCTGTGTTTTATCTGCAACCCTTCTCTGGAAAAGCTCTCCAAGACCTCAGAGCAAGGTTCTGTCACAGTTAGGCTTTGTGCCCTGGTGGGCGAGTTCGAATGCACTTCACATCTTTCAAAGACTGTAAAAAAGATAAGATAAAAACAACAAATAATTATATCAGAGACTGTAGAAGGAGCTAAAATATTTACACTTAAACTATCAGGTCCTTCGGAGAAAAAGTGTACAATGAAATTCAGTGAGGAGACTAAGAGAAGAGCTTGTGAGAATGAAGAATCTTTGCTATTTAAATACCTGTAATATTAGGTCAGGCAAGACATTAAGCCAGCATTTCTAAGGAAACCCAAGTCTCAGGGTATAGAAGGGAGGCACAGAGCGGAGAGCAAGCAAGTAGACACAACAGGAAAGCTGTGAGAAAGTGCGGAGCTCACTGCTCCTGGCGCTCTTCAGTACTGGGAATGGCCTGCCCTGACTCCTTGTCTCCTCCTTCACTGTCTTGAGTCTCTCAGGCTAGCTTAACCTGTTCAAGTCTTTCCAATAAAGGTCACTCCTTGCAGGTGTCTCAAAGTCCAGGGTAGGCCTCTCCTAGCTCTCAGAAGGCCTCCCTTGCTGTGACTGGCCTGGGGGCAGGTAGAGAGACCTGGGTGGAGAAGAGCAGGAGTTGACACAGGGCCTCACTGGAGGCAGGTCTGCAGTCTGTCTCTTTAAATCTCAGGTAATTTGGAAGGAGGGAGGGAGTGTCTGTACAGCTCCTGCTCACTCCCAGCAGGAGCTCCTGACAGACCAGCTCACAAGGAGTCCCAGCTCTGCCAAGTGTAACAAACTCGAGCCCTCTCCAGACTGGCTGGAGCACCCACGAGGAGACTCCTAGGGGGCACACAGGGGCCGTAGAAGACGGGACCTCTACAGGTAGAGGGCAGGCTGGCCCTGGGTGGTGCTGATGTGGCCTCAAGGCTGAATCCAGCCAGGGTCCGGCCCAGGCGACAGCCCCTCAAGGAACCAGCCCTACACCCCATGGGGTTGTCGCTGCCCAAGGAGAAGAGCCTAATTCTTTGCCTGTGGAGCAAGTTTTGCAGATGGTTCCAGAGACGGGAGTCCTGGGCTCAGAGCCGAGATGAGCTGAATCTGTTGCAGCAGAAAAGGTAAGACTCGCCCCAACCTGCTTCCCTTCCCACCCAGGCTGCACCTCTGCCTCTCAGCCCCTGGCCTCTGTCTTTGTTAGGCACCTCTGGATGAGCAGATGGTACTCCGGGTCGGTACTATCTCCCTAGGAACATGTTGTCTGGGCCTATGGGGCCAGTGCCCCAGGGAGCCAGGTGGGAGAGGAGGGCCTAGATGGGCACAGGTGTTCAGCATCCTTGAGATTCTGAGAACCTCTTGCGGGAGCTTCCTAAAGGCAAGTACCTTGTTGAGATTGTGGTTGGGGGCTGAGGTTCCAGTGTCACAGCCCCCGACCTCAGGAGGGGCTGGGGGTCAGGACACGGCTTTGTGCGTCTCTATTCCCTGCCCATAGGACAGGCTCTCTGGCAGAAACACCATATATATGAGGCGCATTCAATGACGAACAGGGCATTAGCTTTGGTTTGACTGTCATGCACTGCAGGCATGCTTTGAAAAGCCCTGTTGTACCCACAAAGATGTACAACAGTTAAATGTGAATAAGAAATGATAAAATAGAGAAGAGAAAATATGTATTGTGAAACAACTATGTATGGATTTTGAAATTGTTGCATCAAAATAAACTTCCTATTTTAATTCCATTTTCCATGAACTTTTTGAAGCACACACACACATACTGAATAAATGAGTGAATGAAGGAAGCAGAGATCAGAAACCACAACATAAGACAACATGTGAAAATAGTTGCCATTCCTATGCATCACACACCAGGCAGGCCCTACTGTGTGCAGGCACTGGGTGGGTGGGGGGTGGGGGGGCTAGGGTGTGAAGTTGTCAAAGCTTGGACCAGTCCTGGGTTTATTTCTCTTGTGTGTGGGGGCCTTGGGGGTAACCTGTCAGAATGGCAGCTGTGCTTAGGAACCACGCTGACCCACTCTCTCGTTCAGGTTGAGAAATTTGAAGGGATATGGAGTTTAATCCCAAAGAAAATCACACCTGATGCTTTGAGCCCCTGGAAAGTTCCCCCGATTCATTTGATACCCTTCTCCCATGACAGCTAGAGAGCGTTAGGAGTAGGAGAGGCGGGGGACTCAATCAAATCAATATGGGGACAGTCCAGGTGGTTTGCTATGGACTGCCCCACCCAGTCGGTGGCATGCTGGAAGGAAGTCCTGCCTTTAGGAACTTTCCCTGGGTCCCTAAAGAGGCAGGTGGATGTCTATTCTAAACTGGGTCTTAGGGTCTTTCTTCGCCTCCAAAAGCAGCGACCTGCGTAAACCTGACAGGAGACTGCCAGGCTCCCGAGTGTTCTCCTTTGCTCAGGGACTCTGGGCTGGGGATGTGCTTCTTTGAGCTCTGGCTTTCTGTCTGTGACACTGGACGCCCACCTCTCTCCCGAGGCCTGAGAGAGTGGGGGCCAGTGCACATGTTTGACTGATGACATGTTGGGGCAACAGAATGGCATTGTTTGAGATAGGTCGTCACTGCTTCCACGCATCCTCTTCCCACTCTCAGGACCCTGGGGCTGGGGGAGCCAGGCACGCAGCATGGACAGGGTGCTGGAGGCTCCCTGTGTGCTTCTGTGCGAGGGGACGGGCTGGACGACCTGGGCTGCAGCAAGCAGCCTGGCTAAGAAGAGTCTGCATCCACTTGTCTTGGCTGCCCCCATTTTTCCTTGGCTAGGAAGGCCTGTGCCACCCACTGGAGGGATCGCCCTCTGTCCCCTGATCTCCCCCTCTGCTTCCACAGTTTCCTAGCTCCCTTTTTCCAGATACCACATACCTGGAGTATTAACTCCTGTTTGGGTGTGGGCTTCCCTGGAGGATGCTGAAATTGCCTGGAAGGGGAGTTTCCTAGTCTGTGTAGTCAACCAGACAAAAGGAAGATATGCAGGCAACTAAATAAATATGGGATGACCATGTAAAAATGGTAGGGGCAGTGAGGGGGGGAGAGGGGGCACTGATGGGAGAGAGAACCACCTTACCTTACAGAAACCCAGCAACAGCCCCAGGAAGGGAGGTCCTGCCATTCCCACTGAATGAGACTAAGTGGAGCCCTAGAGCAAGGAAGTGGTGAAGGCCAAATTCATGCCCAGAAGTCATATGGTGGCCATGGGGTGGGGTGTGGTGGGACTCCAGGGGATAGGGCCTGGTCTCCTGAGAGGGAGGGCTGTGAGGTGCCTCCAGAATGAAAGGGAATCTGGCAATCCTCTCTCTGCAGTTGGCCTTCCCTGGGTCTCAGTCAGGCAGGCTCCTCTGCCTAAATCCACATTGTTAGGATCCAAGCTGAACCCCTGATGTTCTCTCATTGCTTCTAGACGATCTTTCCTTGGGCTTGCATTTTCTCATTTCCAATCATGAAGCTTTTATTGGGCAGAAGACACTCCACCAAGTTTACAGAAAAGGAATACAACACATTTAAGGAGCTCACATTCTCTCTGTCCCCTTTTTATGTTTGTTTGTCAGAGGGCACATGTGCTGGCCAGAGAGAGCAGACATGGAAGGAGGAGAAAGCACTTCCAACAGGGCGTGGCCACGATCCCTTGCCTTCCATTTCGTCATCCTGTTGGGATTTGGGGCACGTGCACATGCACACATGACCGGAGTGTTTTTGAAGCTGCTGGGTCTAGGATTTGAACTGCTTAGTCAGCTATGGGAGATCTGAATCCTTTAACCTCCAGGTCATAGAACCCAGACCTCAAAGAGTTCACATCCCAATTGGCAAGATGTGCCAACATGCATATGCCTGGTTTCCAGGCGAGCCTGGTGAGGGCCACAGGAGGGTATCACATCACGGGAGCATAGAGGAGGAAGCTGTTGCGTCTGACCTAGCTGCTGTGAAGTGTGCTGGCAGAGTCACAGAGGCTGCCTGACCTCAGAGCTGCCTGTTCTTACGCTAGCACTTTGATTCCCCGAGGGGAGCAGTTTGGAGGGAGACAGTGCACGCAGCGGCCAGTTTCCCTTTGGTTGGTCATGTGAGCATATGTGAACTGGAGTGTCTGAAATGCAAATCCCGGGACTCTCAGGCACGCTGCATGCCACTGCCTCAGTCAGTGTGTGCGGGCACATCTGCTTACATGTACACACAGTTGCTTACTGTGGAAAGGAGTGGTGGCAGTTAGGAAGGTAGCCAACTCCAAGTTTCTACATAGCTCCCCCCACCTCCCTGACTTGGCTTTCCCATGCCATTCCCAGAGCCATCCCATCCCCAAGAACCCAAACTGGTGGGAAGCAGCCTACAGTGCCCAACGTCTGCCTTCTCCCCACACATGGCTGCTATTTCCCCCTTCTGTGGTCACTGTGCTGGCCTGCCCCCTTTCTTTGCTCAAGGAAAATCAGGAGGAGCCGAGTGGTAAGAGCCTAGGGCTAAGTTCTTGGCCAAGCGGCCTGCCTTAACTTTGTTCAATCTTCTGGCAACCGTTGGGCTGTGCTGCCTCAGTTTCCTTTTCTGAAACATGGGAGAATCACTCAGCTCTTGTCAGAGGATTGAAAAGAGTGACGGTGATGGGCCCAGCCACAGGGTGCCGAAGTTGAGACCACTCGGTGATGCTGAAGCCAGGTAGAAGCTGTGGATTCAGGTATCAGGTTAACCTGTAGGTGCCAGCTTGTGGGCCTGATCCTGGATGGCCGGGGAGGCTGTGGGAGAGGACTGTGAAGGGAGAACCTGTTGAGGGTGCTTGTCTTCCTGTGCCTTTCTCATGAAATAAATAAACTTAAAACCAAAAAAGAGCAGAAGTGTGGTGCCACTTTGTAAACTGAAAAGCATGGTCAACAGGGGCACTGATGGGAGAGAGAACCACCTTACCTTACAGAAACCCAGCAACAGCCCCAGGAAGGGAGGTCCTGCCATTCCCACTGAATGAGACTAAGTGGAGCCCTAGAGCAAGGAAGTGGTGAAGGCCAAATTCATGCCCAGAAGTCATATGGTGGCCATGGGGTGGGGTGTGGTGGGACTCCAGGGGATAGGGCCTGGTCTCCTGAGAGGGAGGGCTGTGAGGTGCCTCCAGAATGAAAGGGAATCTGGCAATCCTCTCTCTGCAGTTGGCCTTCCCTGGGTCTCAGTCAGGCAGGCTCCTCTGCCTAAATCCACATTGTTAGGATCCAAGCTGAACCCCTGATGTTCTCTCATTGCTTCTAGACGATCTTTCCTTGGGCTTGCATTTTCTCATTTCCAATCATGAAGCTTTTATTGGGCAGAAGACACTCCACCAAGTTTACAGAAAAGGAATACAACACATTTAAGGAGCTCACATTCTCTCTGTCCCCTTTTTATGTTTGTTTGTCAGAGGGCACATGTGCTGGCCAGAGAGAGCAGACATGGAAGGAGGAGAAAGCACTTCCAACAGGGCGTGGCCACGATCCCTTGCCTTCCATTTCGTCATCCTGTTGGGATTTGGGGCACGTGCACATGCACACATGACCGGAGTGTTTTTGAAGCTGCTGGGTCTAGGATTTGAACTGCTTAGTCAGCTATGGGAGATCTGAATCCTTTAACCTCCAGGTCATAGAACCCAGACCTCAAAGAGTTCACATCCCAATTGGCAAGATGTGCCAACATGCATATGCCTGGTTTCCAGGCGAGCCTGGTGAGGGCCACAGGAGGGTATCACATCACGGGAGCATAGAGGAGGAAGCTGTTGCGTCTGACCTAGCTGCTGTGAAGTGTGCTGGCAGAGTCACAGAGGCTGCCTGACCTCAGAGCTGCCTGTTCTTACGCTAGCACTTTGATTCCCCGAGGGGAGCAGTTTGGAGGGAGACAGTGCACGCAGCGGCCAGTTTCCCTTTGGTTGGTCATGTGAGCATATGTGAACTGGAGTGTCTGAAATGCAAATCCCGGGACTCTCAGGCACGCTGCATGCCACTGCCTCAGTCAGTGTGTGCGGGCACATCTGCTTACATGTACACACAGTTGCTTACTGTGGAAAGGAGTGGTGGCAGTTAGGAAGGTAGCCAACTCCAAGTTTCTACATAGCTCCCCCCACCTCCCTGACTTGGCTTTCCCATGCCATTCCCAGAGCCATCCC